GTTCTCTTTTCCTTTCACTTTTGCCAGTTTGACTGTAATATGTTTAAGTGTTGATATTTTTGAGTTTATCTTACTTAGAGTTTATTGAGCATCTTGAAGGTATAGAATGATGTTTTTCATTAAACTTAGGGAATTTTTGATCATTACATTGATTTATGATGAGGTTACATCCCAATAAACCCATCATAAGTTCAAAAATACTGTAAGTCAAAAATGCATTTAATACACCACTAAAACCCATTATAAAGCAAAAAAATCGTAAATTGAACCATTTTAAGTCAGGGACCATCTGTATTTCATTAAGTATTTATTTTGCCCCTTACTCTCCTTCTGGAACCCTATTATATATGTGTTACTATGTTTGATGGTACCTCATAGCTCTTTGAGGCCCTGTTCATTTTTTCTTTGTTCTTTTTTCTTTCTATTCTTTCGGACTGTGTAATCTCTATTGACCTGTCTTTACATTCATTTATTTATTTTCTAGTTCACATCTGCTGTTGAGACCCTCCAGTGCATTTTTTATTTCAGTTACTGTACTTTTCAACTATAGAATTTCTATTTGGATTTCATTATAATTCATATCTATTGATATTCTTTGGTGAAACATCATTTTCATACCTTTGTATATGGTCCTTTAATTCCTTATATATAGTGTCCTTCAGTTCTTTGAATGTATTTTTAATGGCTCATTTAAAATCTTTGTCTCATAAATTCAACCTCTGAGCTTCCTCACGGACAGTTTCTATTGACTGCTTTATTTCCTGAGTGTGGTCCATACTGTCCTGTTTCTTTGTATGCCTCGTTACTTTTGTTGTTCAAATAATACCATGTGGCAGCTCAGGAAATCAGATTCCCACTATCCCCAGGGCTTGTTCTTGATGCTGTTTATTTGTTTTGTGAGTTTCCTTGATTGATTCTGTAAAGTCTGTATCCTTTGTCTATGTGGCCACTGATGTCTCTGTTCAGCTTACTGGTCAGCTGATGATTGGGCAGAGATTTACTTAATGCCTGATAATAAGTCTCTCAGCCTTTGCTGAAGGGCTTGGTGTATGTGTTAGGGCACGTCTTTAATGTTCAAGCATGAAGCTTGCAAGACTTAGCCTTCACTTCCTGCTTGCACATTGCCTCAAATTCAGCCAGACATGAAAGATTAGGGCCTCTGAGGTCTTTCCCTGGCATGCACACATCCCTGCACCTGCGCATGGCCTCCTAAAGTCCCAGAAATATGTTCAAGCTTTTCAAAGCCCCTGTGAATATCTCATTTCCCAGTTTTCCCTTTTCAAGTTTTTTGGTCAGCTTTTGTTAACCCCATTGGTAAGGCTGCCTCTGGCAGCTGTGGTGTTGTCACCAGTAGTTTTCAACAAATGCCGTGAGTCTGAGGCTGTTTGTACAAGCAAGCTCTGAGTCAGGTCAAATAAAAACAAACCCTGAGAATGGAGCTCTTTATCATATATCCAGATAGGTTAGAAAGGTAATAATAGTTCTCTGGGATGGGGCTTTTGGGGAGTTCCAGACTCTTCTGTCCCCTCCAGTCCTTGCCGGCTGCTAGTTTTCACAGATACCATTGTTGTGATGCTGTTGGTTTTCAAGGCTACCACAGAGCTGCACAGAAGGGATGGAATTAGGCAAGCTGAAATGCCACAGAGCTCACTGTTCTTACCAAGATTCAGTCATTTTTCTTGAATAAACACTCTG